AATTGCATTGTCGCGCGTGTTTCGGCACAAACTCTCGGCCAACGACTCCGGAATTGTCCGCATTATAGCGAAAACACGTGAGCAGTACTTTGCCAGAGGTCTGGCCGGTGGCCAACAGGACATCGTTTTCCAAATGAATCGTTTTGGGATTACATGCTATGCACTGAAGACATACAGTGCGACAAAAAAAACGGATCAATTAATGAGTCAAATCACACCATAGATCAAAGTCAAAGACACCCGTACTTTAACAAACTGGACGTCACCGTTGGTGGCGATGATGTTGGCGATCGTATTGTCCGATATCTGTGTCCCGGCTGTCGGGGTGTCCGCCAAAACACATACAAAGACCATCTCATTAGACATATCACACCAAACAATGACATCAAAAACATACCGAAACTCTTGAGCAACTCTTTGCCAATGGATTCGCATTGAAATAGTTTTAAATCGTTTGCAAATGTTATGAATCTGAAGACCGGATCAGATCGAGAGAAACAATTAACACACTTCTCAGACAAGTGTTACAAAGAGTTACACGTGTTGTCACTCGACATACCTGTCCTGAAATGGTGTCCAATTGATGTCCACTTTGATTACAGACATAATTATCTATTAATTATAATTAAATCAATTATTTATTGCTTTTTATTATTGAATAAATTGTTTACAAAAAAATAGTTATCAAAAAATCATAAATAAATACAATGCCAAACACTACTCAATGTTCAACGATATCGTTACAAATAAACACACTTTTAGTGACCCCTTAAACACTCACCACGTTATGAACAACAAGAAGTACCCGCAATAAAAACCCCTATTAATCGTAACGTTATATAATAACGTGATTTATTGTGACCTATACTGCTATCTACTGGAAATGCAGCCCAAGTTTTGGACTTAATTAACACTTTAATGGGTTATTTGCAAAACTATATATTACTCGAAGGTTTGGGTCCTTTTATAGCAATAATATTGCATTTATTTTACACACTAAACACTTATCAACAAAAGGGTACGAATGCTAACAATCAGTTCACTGTTTACTATCCATACAAACCAAATGTGAATTGAATTTAAACGTTAAATACAATGAAAATTGCATTTAATTTAATCACATAT